GCAGTAGTTAAATTGATCAAGAAACCATTACTGATGATTTGTTTTCTATTATAATTCAATACTTCCTGTTTTGCCGTGAACCAGAAGCCAACAATAAAACTTGGTTCAAAATTCCATCTTATTAAGAAAACACCCTATCAATGGTGAGAATGGTACTGTGGAGCTGTAGGCTATGTGCTAGTTGAAGGATACCCATTTCTTCATTGATAATGAAACAATTCTAGACATACTGATGTCATTTTTTTCCTTCTTTGATAAATGAAAATCAGGAAAACAAGTCATAAACAGAGTACAGACATATTCCTGGGGATCTGAAATAACTACGACAATTACAATCACCTCTAGGAGCTGAGCACAGGGTGGATGGAAGAGCTTTCAATTGCTAACAATTACTCAGGAACTATTGGTGGGATGAGTAAATATGAATGTGTAAGCAGGTGTCCTGTAAGTTTAGTGAGGCATCAGTATCATTTTTATGTAGGCATTCTATGATGGATATCAAAGTCTCCCTTCAGACCAGGCAATATCTTGTATCAGTTCACTTGCTCCAGTAAGGATAATGTACCATCTCTTGTTTTTCTTGGTACAATGAAAAATATAGAATATGAGTAAAAGAATCTCTTACCCAGAAGTACCTACTCAATCATTTGTTTAGCTAAGGTAAATGATGGCTTTCAGGAAAATGTGATTAATTTTTGTCACTTAGTTTGTGTAAAGCAGTGTTCTCAAACTTCCTAATGCCGCGACCCTTTAATACAGTTCCTCATGTTGTGGAGACCCCCAACCCCCCATCCAGCTGGCCGGGGGGGTATCAAAAACTTGACCCCCAAAAAAGAGGAAAAAATGGGAAAGTATAGGAAGTCCTCGACTTACAACAATTCGCTTAGTGACTGTTTGAAGTTATAACAGCACTGAAAAAGCGAATTATGATCATTTTTCACACTTATGGTTGTTGAAGCATTCCCAGGGTCATGTGATTTACATTCGGATGCTTGACAACTGATTCATAATGATAACATTCACAGTGTCCCAGGGTCACATGATGAATGGCCAGGGGGCGTGGCCAGCTGATCACTCAGGTTGCAGAGTGCCTGTGGGGAGGAATCTGTGGGTCTCTGGGATGGGACTGGGGTGGGTGCCTGCCTTCGTTCCCTCCCTTCTCTCCCCTTGTCCCTTCCTCCCTTCCCTCCCTTCCATTGTTCCTCCCTTCTTTCCCTCTCTCATTGTTCCTTACTTCCCTCCCTCTTTGTCCCTTCCTTCCTCCTCCCCCCAGGCCCAGGAAGGGACAAGGGGAGTGGGATAGGCTGCCAGCGTGGCTGGGGGCTTTGCTGCCGGCAAACCTGCCTTTGCACAGGCAGAGACAGGAGAACTCCACCCAGCTCACTTGCTCAGCTTTGCCGAAAGGCATGCCACTGCTAAGTTAGCAGAAGCTCCAGGATCAGCGCTGGGCTACAGCTGATTTGTGCTTCTGCTAAATTAGCAAGCGCATGTTTTCTAGCGAGCAAGTTTGCTGGGCAGGAGCCAAGGAGAGCAGCTTCAGCTGCAGAAGCATGGATCAGCTGTAGAGGCTCGCCCCGATCCTGGACAAGAGGGAAGGAAGGAAAGAAGGGAGGGAGGGACAAGGGGGAGAAGGAGGGAAGGAGGGACAAAGAGGGAGGAGGAAGGAAGGAAGGAAGGAAGGAAGGAAGGAAGGAAGGAAGGAAGGAAGGAAGGAAGGAAGGAAGGAAGGGACAATTGGAGAGGGAGGGAAGGAGGAAGAGACCAAGAGGGAGGGAAGGAAAGGAAGTTCCAGCCAGGAGAGGCTTGCCAGCCTGGCTGCTGAGAAACAGAAGAGCGCAAAGCCAAGGAGAAGAAGGTGATGGTTTCCTCCCAAAGGGAGCTCCTTTTCTCCACCCCTTCCCTGGGTTTGTGGGGAATTTCTCATCACCAACGCTGGCAGGTGCTGCTTCGAGCCCACCGTGAGCTTTCTCACCCCCTTTGCTTCTCCCCCCCTCCCCTGCTTTCGTGAGGATTGTGGCGCCCTTGGGTAGCCGATCGTGCTTTGAAGCTTAGGAGAGGAGGAAGAGTCCCTTCCTCCTTCCCTCCCTCTTGTGTCAGCTGGCACAAGTTTGGGGGTCGCCAGCTGACGGGCGCAGGAGTTGGGTGCTGCAGCAGCCTCCCCTTCGCTGACCTGCGTGCACGAGAAGAAGTCAATCCGGTTGCTGCACAATGAGTCTCTGGGGAGGGCGAGGCCTTGCTCTGTGTCTGTGGTCTTCATGCGCCCCCTGCAGGGCACATTTGGTAGAGTTCGTGCAGACTGCCGCCAAGCAGCATATTTTCCACAAACAAGTGAGGTGGAGCAGAGGGGGGGAGGGAGAGAAGGCGGTTGACAAGCCCTGCCTAAGACCATCGGAAATATGTGTTTTCCGATGGTCTTAGGCGACCCCTGTGAAAGGCTCGTGCGACGCCCAGAAGGGTCACGACCCACAGGTTGAGAACCACTGGTCTAAAGGAATGATGAAATTTTTGATGTGACCATGTGATACCATCTTTAGGACCTATGAATCTGGTGTTTTATAAGTGGGAAAGATCAAACCTGCCCATCCAGCAGCAGAGACAGTTATTGTTTGTATCACTTCTTTGTTAGTAAGGGAACATGCTTCCTTTAGATTCATGTTGAGGACGGAGTGCCCCACAGTTTTAAAATGATCCGTGTCCCTTTTAGTCCCAGAATCAACTTTTGGTGCAATATGGGCAAGGCTTTCATTTTGTGCTTCATTCTACTTAAGATCTCATCTAGAGACTCTAGAAGCAGCTTGGTCCATTTTAAGGTGTCTGAAATTGGCAGCCATCATATGGCGCCTTTGCCTAAGAATTAGGCATTATCCAGACTTGCATCCACCATGAAGGCAGCAGACAGCAAGGACTGGGCATCTAGTAACACTGGCTTTAAACCCTATTGCTCCCCAGATTGTGGCAAACAAATGCTGTTTTTTTTTTCTGCCATGTTACAATTGTTATGGAACAAGCTCTTATTGGAACTAAGGCAGAAACCTACCTTTTTACTATCTGGGAGGTAAGGTTTACAATTATTACACTTCTTACAAGTATGTATATATAGAAGGAGGACAGAGAGTGCCACCCAGATCCTTTTTGGGAGTAGGAGGAAGGCAGGAAGACAAGGATTTGTTTGTAAGTTTGTACATGGTTGATTATATGGAGCTGAAATGCCACTCTGTCCAAAGGGCACAAGATAAGGGCAACTATCAATAAAACAACACAGCTATAATTTAAGCAAACCAGTACCTGGTTTTTATAGGTTGACTTTATAATATTTTTTTAAATTTGGGGGAAGGCTAGTAAAAAGCTATAGCTCAAGTCACTCATTGTACCCTTTAACTCAGGGGTATCAAACTCAATTTCATTGAGGGCCGCATCAGCATTGTGGTTGCCCTTGGGGGGCTGGGTGGGTGTGGCCAGGGTGGGTGCGGCCTACTGGGTGGGCATGGATGGAGTGGGTATGGCCTATAGGGTGGGCATGGCCAGCTCTACATCGTTCGCATCAAGGGTGCCTGTCGGGGCCTGGGCAGGAGTGGGACAAATCTGAGGGTCTCTGGCAGAAGGGGGTGGGACGGGGGGCAAGCGCCAAGGCATGGTCCATTTCTTCATTCCTTACAAAGGGTAACACCTCCCCAGCATGCACCCAGGGGTAGGGCCGATGCGGCAGGGTCTGGTTCCTCGCTGTTTCTAGACGGCCTTGTGGGGCTAAGACTGAATGTGTTTCAGCATAGATGGTCACCACAAAATTGTACATTGGCTCCTAGCCGGCCTGGGACAGGGCCAAGGCAGCGGGGGCCATTCCCTCATTGTTTCCAGGGTGGCTTCGTGGGCCACATGAAACCACTTCGCGGGCCGCATCCGGGCCCCAGGCCTTGTGTTTGACATGTCTGCTTTAACTTAATCCAGAATTTAAAAAATGAGCCCACTTTTTGATGGGAGGCCTTATATCTCTGCAAGACTATGGTGCTGAATTTGCCTATTAACCTTCCTAAATATCAAAAATGAAAAAAAAAGTCATTCCAAACTTATCTAGAGAAATTTGGGAAGCTGCAAATGGGAAATTGCAGCTGTATACATACTGGTGTTGCCCTCTGCAGCACTAGAGTGATATTTTTCATGCCTCTGATTTTTCTCCTTTGTAAATGGCTAAGTTATACAGAGGGTCTTTCCCCACTGATGAGCTGAAGTGCTACTCAACCATCTTTGAGATGGCAAAAAATAATGCCAGACTGAATTTTGATGTTCCCATTGTCAAACTCTAACCTTCCTGTATTCTCAATCATTTCTGTCACTGGACTTCCCTCCAGGGTTACTGGTGACAAATTTCAATAGATTTTGTATCATTTTATGTCTTAGATAGTGTTGAAATGGGTGCAGGGGAGGGGATACAACTTTAATAGTGGTAGGGATAGGAAGTATTTAAGCTGTCTCACTCGTGGTTTGAAATAAGATGAATGTAACATCATGGGGACATGGTTAGAAAATGATGTTGCCAAATATGTTTATGCTGTGATTGGGAAGAAATGGAAACAAGCCGTGATTCTTAACGGTACCAGAAGTCTCTCCTGTTTTCTTGCAGGAGGTAAAGGCAGCAGCCCTTCTGAAAATATATTTATCCTATATTTGGATAGATTAGATCACACTAACATAAAATGACTAAGGAGGCAAATTATTCATTACCTCTATACAAAGGGCACAAAGGTCAAGAAGCCAAAAGCAATGAACAGATCAGTAGGATTTCTAGGCAGTACACAAATAAATACAATCTTGAGGCAGGTTGGGCAGGGCCTGTTTGAAATGATGATCCAACAGCATTACATTAAGCAACCACTATGAGAAATAAGTTTCCTGGTAGGAGAAAACTTTGATGTTTTGCAAAACCGAGAATCAAATGGTATCAGATGTGCTAATGAATACAAACTCCAACAACACTCTTTCTCTTAAACGATGGTGATTCTAAAGCTGTAATTTGTGATTGCTCCTTGGCAATGAACATTGTTTTGCCATAGAGATCTCACTTAGTAGAATACCCACACCCACACCAACCAATATTAGCCAAAAGCAAAGATAGCAGGAGTAAGGTACCAACATCATCATTACACCCGTTCTCCCTTTCATTTCCTTTTCACCAAGTGGCTGGGAAATTATAGATAGTGCTGGTTTCCTTGACAGTGAACAATAGAACAATTCAGAGGTATAATGCTCAACACAATACATTCTGTTACTATAGGAACCAGGCATTACAAGTGATGGGGGTGGTCCAAGACGAAGGCAGAGTTACAGTACACAGTAAGACTTTGCCAATGTCCAACACTGAAACGCACCATATGTTGCATTTGCAACATATCAAATAACAAATCACTGTTTGCTGATTTCCATTACTGACCAACAGGATGAAAAGCAAATAGCTGGAAGTGGTTTCGTGAGTATGGCTTAAAGGATGTAACCAGTTCACAATTTCATCCATATTTCTTTATTACAAGAGAGCATTTGGAAGAGAGATGCACCACAAATATTGGGAGTACGTATTTATGGCTATGTGGAGACCTTCAGGAAGGAGTATCTGATCCATAGCTACTAAGCTGTGAACCAAAAGTCAAGTGCCAGACTTGGATTTCGTATACTTAACATAACAGTACAAAACAGATATGAACCATAATCTATATTTGCAGTCCTTTATTGTGATATATTTGATACAGTCTTCCTACCAATTCAGACCAATTCTCAGGTCAACAGAGACTTTGTTTCTTCTGAATGTGATCCCTTCCCACTATTGAGAAACTCTCTCTCTCTCTCTCACTCTCTCTCTCTCTCTCTCACTCTCTCTCTCTCTCTCTCTCTCTCTCTCTCTCTCTCCCTCCCTCCCTCCCTCCCTCCCTCTCTCCCTCTCTGTGTGTGTGTGTGTTGGCATAAGAGATTGGGACTGGTGAAAGAATTAGGGAACACCTTCTTAAACATATTTGTATGAAACAAATATTTGGGGCCTGAAAGAAATCTGTGAGTGGAGAGCCTACATAAAACTTCAAGCTTCCCCTTTACATTTCAGAATCAAGCCAAGAAATCAGTTAAGAAACTTACTCAGCATCAATGTTCTCGCATCCCTCACTTACTTTCAGCCAATACCCAATTTCTTGCATAATGTAATAGTTATTAAGGGTGGTTATAGCTACATAATGTTCCCACTTGAAATTTATTTAGCAGTTAACTTCAAAAAGCATATACATAATGGAACACAATCTGAGGCAGAGCTATCAGGCTAATAGCTCGCTGTTAATATTATATCTCTGGTGATAATTTATGAAGTGAATTGCAAGATTGGCTATTTTGAGTAAAGAAATGTGGAGAGGTGTGGAAATACTAACCCTGCCCTTGGCTCCTCTTTCTCAATTTCAATTCATTCCCAGGAAACTTTCCCCCCAATAAGTTTGCTAATATTCTTTCTTGTTACTTAAACGTGACATGCATACCTTTGCCTTAACTCTTCAGCTTATGGTATTAATGTAAAAAGTTATATTAGCTTATATGATATAAAATCCCAGCAAATCCTACCCAAAATATATCACACCATATGTCACTAACGGGATTCTGATGCATACATATTCAGCAAGATTATAAGTGTGCAAAATTGCAGCCTATATGTTACATACAATCTACCATGACCACTTTTGCAAATCTGGCCAATAAATAGAGCCAAAATATTCAAACTGTTTCCCCTCATTTTAGAGTTTGGGAGAGTGCTTAAGGAGTGAGATTTCCTTAATCTTGATCCTTGCAATAGCTTGTGCATTTATTTGTTTTTTTTTAAAAAAAAACACATAACTCTTTTAAACATTGCACCAATGGACATTGCACGTTTAGAGTTTAGCCCTCAACATGCCAGAGACAGACCATTGCGGCCTTCATGACTTCAGAAATTGCCTGTCTCTGATATAAATCATCATGTTCAGTGCCATTTCAGATGTTCCTATATTTTTAAGAGTGATCCTACGCAGTATCAGGAGGTTATTCATCCTCTGAAAAGGCAGAGAACTATGCCTAAGGAGAAAATCCTCCTCTACTATGCAGATTTTCTAAATGTAATGAATTTATTTCTATTTAAAGGTACACTGAACTCTGCAGTAAAAATCCAAAACACAATTCTTTATGTTGGATATGTGCCCTGTGAGTAAGGATCATACTTTAATACCAATAGGACAGGAAACCCCTGTGCCTCCAAGTCCACAGTAACCATTAGGGTGTTTGCTTAGGTACTGCTGGTGATATTCTTCAGCATAGTAGAACTCCGGAGCCTCGCGGATTTCAGTTGTGATGACTCCAAACCTATTGTCTGTCAATGCCTGCGAAAGATAAAAGGAAGAGAAAGAAAGAATCTTATTAGGAATTGTTTATAAGGAGTCATATGAATGATTAGTAACAGAAGTTTGAACTCTATAAGAAAGAGAAAATATTTAACAGTTTAATGGAGAACATGCTTGGCTATTTAGGGTTAATGTGAATTTGAGCAAGTATAGCATGGTGGGTAGAGAATTAATTTAGAAGTGGGCAACCCAAATTCAAATCCATACTCATTAGAAGCTCCTTGGATGACATTGGTCTACTCATTGTAGAAGGTAAGACTTACTGCTTTATAGTAGTCAAAAATCAGGGATTAGTTAATCTGAATAGATCCCTTCAGATTATAAATCTAATCAATATTCCTGAGCCCAAACTTCTGCAGGTAACTAGATACAATTGTAGAAATATGAATACTACATATCGATCTCTGGTCTATCTTTGGACAAAGAGTCTAAAGACAACAGGAAAAAAATGATTCTGTGATAGTTTTAGTTTATAATAGGAGAATTATATGCCTCACAGAAGTCTTGCAAAGAGACTTAAGAAAAAATGTGGAGAGTATTAGTATTAGTATTTTCCTATTACTAATAACAAAAGATCACCCTCAGCAAAGTATTTTCCTATATGTTTTGGTTGAATGAAAACTAAAGGATTCATCTCCATAACTTTAGTTTAAATTAGGATATTTTAATAAATGAAATAGGAAAATAATCACTGGAATGAGCTCTCTTATTATCAGTATTACTTTTCTACATAATTGCTATCGTTCACTGGTAGCAATAGACAATTAAAGTGATCTGAAAGAATTCTACTTTTTGTTTCTTCAGTCAGATCCTGACAGTCACTTCTACCTTTTCATTTGCAACAAACAGATGCCCATGGAGATATTCCTTCAATTTTGGGGAAAGATAGAAGTTTCTCACACTAAGTCCTCCTGAACTGAAGTAACAAAGTATGCACTAAAGAAAATGTTAGAGCATTAATGCATTAGTACTGTTGTCAATATGCAACAATAAAGGGATTACTTTTCATTCAACCCATTATGCCATTTTGCAAAAACTAGAATGGAATGGAATGGAATGGAATGGAATGGAATGGAATGGAATAGAATAGAATAGAATAGAATAGAATAGAATAGAATAGAATAGAATAGAATAGAATAGAACAACAGAGTTGGAAGAGACCTTGGAGGTAGTCCAACCTCCTGATCAGGCAGGAAACTCTATACCATATCAGTCAGATCGTTGTCCAATCTCTTCTTTAAAACTTCCAGTGTTGAAGCATTCACAGCTTTTGGAGGCAAGTTGTTCTACTGATTAATTGTTCTCACTGTCAAGAAAATTCTCCTTAGTTCTAGCTCCTCTCCATCTTTTGCTTCTTGTCCTGCCCTCAGGTGCTTTGGAGAATAACTTGACTCCCTCTTCTTTGTGGAAATCCCTGAGATATTGGAACACTGCTATCATATCACCCCTCGTCCTTCTTTTCATTAAACTAGACATATCCAATTCCAGCAACCATTCTTTATATGTTTTAGCCTCCAGTCCCCTAATAATCTTTGTTGCTCTTCTCTGCACTCTTTCTAGAATCTCAACATCTTTTTTACATCATGGCAACCAAAACTGGATATAGAGATGGTGCGATATGCACCCAAAGTTTTGCATTAATTAGAAAATTGGATGAATTCTGGATATGTATATTGTATTTGCTTCCTCTAGAAAGAACAGAACGAGATTCTGCTTGATCACAAGGCTGGACTGGAAGACCTCCAAGGTTCCTTCCAACTCAGTTATTCTGTAATAATCTGATAACAGCTTTTATCATCAAGATGCAAAAATATTAGGGAAACTTTCCCCAGCTGGGTATCCTTGAGTCATATAAACTTCAACTTTCAGATTCTCAGAACTGCCTACATTGGCAACCTAGATTTAATTTTGATACCAATTAAATGAGTTTGTGCATTTGATGCCAGATTTCAGTGGACTGGGGAGGTAAAAGTAGAATTTGCTTAAAGCTGGTTCGCACTCAAGCTTTTGAGAATAATATAATATGGTTTTGGAAAGTTCAAAGTCTCTTCTCCTAGGGACCCATTATTTAAGATTGGAGATGCAATTTGGTCCTTCATCCAGATCCAGTTGGCAGAAAAGATTCTGTCAGCTTATACTTTTCCTAACAGATAAAAGTCCACAAGTCCCCATGCTGCAGGATCAACTTTCAATCTTAGTTTGCAAATATGTTCTTGGCATCTAATAAAATTGGGAATTTTATTAGATGCCAAGAACATATCAGAGCTAGTTGATTTCTATACACTTCCTCACAGTAATCTGCTAGCAAAACAATTACTAAAATATCTGTATTGGATTATGGTTTCCATGAGCCATTCAGAACTTCAGACAATTCTTTTAAGTACAGAATTAAAATCCACATTATGCAACTTTTTCAGCTACCAAAATTTAAGAAGAATCTATAGCACTTGAAGTAAAAAATAGGACCTTTAAACATTTACGTTTCTTATTAAATTTGATGACAGAGAATTTATTTAAAAGAAAAGTAGCACGTTGAAAATTTTCCCATGGGTAAGGTACCTGTATATGGATCTTAAATTACTTTAGCTATAAGGTAACCATGGGGTGCATGTAAGTGTCTAATCCTCTATTGTACAATATTTTTTTCCAGTAATCTGTAGTTTCCCTGGCTTTCCACACTTCAATTAAACCTCCCTCCACTAAAAAAGGCAAAATCTTGAAATAATTCCTTCCATTGGAGTTTTTCAGCAGTCTACTACTATAGGTTCTTCTCGTTGAGAAACTGTTGGAGATTTCTTCTTTCTCCTACAATCTGCATGCCCTCCCAATCTGTCCAAGAATTAAGTTTCTGTTCTCCAAAGCTCAACCAGGTGGATCTGTTCTGCCGTGGCCTCTCCAAGTAGGGGTGGGAGTGCCTATGTCTATCTGAAGAGCATCACTGAGCTACTTGGGTCATTTGTCTTAGTATGCTGAAGTAGCTTTCTGTGTTTTTCACTGAAACGTGAGCTTGTGTATGTATATACTGTATATAAAAAAGGGCTGGATATACAATAGTTTTTTTTGAATTTGTGCAGAGAGAATGTGACCATTTAAGGGCCATGTTCCCAGAATTCTACTATCTTAAGCCCTTCATCTGAACCTAATTTATCTTTCAGTGCTTACAAATACTGCATCTTAGGTAGAAATGGTTTTCTTTTGTGGCATGATCTCCTCATAAGGGCTGTTAGATCACCTCTTGAGGTCTTGTTTTCCTCACTAAACAGGGCCAGCCCTTTGAGAAGTTCTTTGCACTTTTTCAAGCAGCTTCATAGCCACCTCAGATGCACTCCTGAGTATACTGGAGGAAAGGAACAAAACCAGTGGAAGAGGGAGAGACAGGAAGAGAGACGTGAAGAATGCACTGTGCCTTTCCAAGAGAACTTGGCATCAGTATCCTGTCTCATCCATGCTAGCTATGGAACAGCAATGACTTGGCAAATCAAAGAAGCAGATGTCAGCCTCATCTGGTTGCCTCGACTCCAGTTGTTTGTTTAAAATGATCAGCAAAGCCAAGCAAGCATGGGGGTCTTGGTGCCCAGGGAGAAAGAAAATGCACCAACCCCTTCTGGTCAGTTCTTTTTCCTCTGGCTTGAATGAATGTGATGTAGCCATGAAGATAAAAAAAAAAAACAGGAATCTAAGCTTTAACAAAGAAGATTAAGGTACACTTGAATCCAAGCATCTCAGAAACTATTACTTAGCCAACTTGTGATAGTCTGTGGGAATGACAAGAAGAAGACCTACAGCTCAGTCCACAAGTGAGGGAAAAGCATGGGAAATATTTCAGAGGGTACTCTGTCTAGTTTCCTGGAAGCTAAAAAGAGAGGATGGGAGAAATATGTTTAGTTCTGCAAGATTCTGTTTAATGGTTCCTTAAAATAAAGTTAGTACTGATGCTCCTGGTTGTGCTCCTTATCTGGACTAATACAATTTGCCTTTCAAAAAAGGTAAGCAGAGTCAAATCTGGTTAATTTTTGAATGTAGGACCACCAGAAAATCTCAGTGATATAAACTAAAGTGGAAGATTGAAAAAATCCCTTCCAAAGGCAAAAGCAGCCACTTTTCTACTGTTGACAAGAAACTGCATGGACATGCCAAAGGAATGGAGTTCAGCTTGAGAATCATTATGCTTATCTGATATTAAGAGGATATGGTCTTTTAGCATATTCCAGAGATCAGGTATTGACTTTCTATAGGTGATAATTGAAGCCTTTTAACATAAACTGGAGCTATTGATTTGGATACCAGTGACTTCAGAGCAACAGGGTCATGAAAGAAGAACCTGCTGTGAGGAATGAAACTGATAAAAGAGAACCAAGCAGTTCAACTTACACATATACTACAAAAGCAAGAGAAGAATTCCATTTTTGGATGGCTCTGTTGTATAACTGCTTCAGTTGACAAACACACAATGAACGCTTCCCTTCCCTCTGCACCCCATATTATAAAGTAACTGGTTCAACTTAAGCAAAGGAAAAAAAGCTATTGTCATTCTCTTCATTTCTGCACTTCGCAGAGTATGCACCTATGAAGACCACATGAAAAATAATTTTCATCAACCCAATGGCCAGAGTTTCTTTCAGTGGACTGCAAAACAATTTAAAATTTAAACAATTTAAAGTTCCAATACTAAAACTAAAAAGAAACATAATGCATTTATAAATAATACAAAACAAAAGATGCAAATAAAAATTTACACAAGCCATTATTCCAGGATAAATTAGGGACTAAAAATCAAAAATAGTTAGTTGGAAATAAGTACCATTTAACTGCAGAAAAAGATAAAATACTTTTATGGGCAGGACTGTAGAATGATGGAAACATTTGTAAAGAGAACACATATTCAAAATTGACTACTAAAAAGTGAGGTATGAAAGGCAATAGACCAACTGTCAAGCAGAAATCATTACCAAACTGTTTGAAGCTGTCTGAGAAGAGGT